GGACCAACAGTGATTGGCATCAACATACCGGATCACAGGGTGTACAGTCAAAAACAAAATGGAGGATACAGCTGGTTAGCAAGGGGGCGTTTAGAACCGAGAAGAATCGGCAGGTTGTGGGGGTCTGCCCAGGCATGTCCTTGAAGCCCATGCTCTGGCTTTCTTCACAAAACGATTCTGATCAGTGGGCTTGTAGCAGATAAGTAAGTTTGGCCAAACAGATTCCTTTCATCTGTGACTGTTCTGAAGTTGAATATAACGTGAACACATCTAGGGGGTTAAGAATCAAAACTGAAATAACTCTAATCCTACTTCAACCATTACCATTTCATCATTGCATTTACCTGTCTCTGATTGTTTTCCAATGAAGGTGGATATATTTATTTAAAAGCAAATGATCTTGTGCTCCAGTCTGCTTGAGTTTAAGCCATTTCATCCAAAGTAGAAACACGTTGACCTTTTTTGTTATTTTAGCTCTTATATTTTAACACCAAAACAAATTGCTAAACGTTCAACTGGAAAAATGGGAATCAGTTTTGGCAGAAGCTTGTCCGAATTAGAAATTAGAAGACAGGTCCTTTAGAGATATTTTCAGACTCTCTCTCTCTATATATATAGTCTCTAAAAACAGCAGTTTAGGTAGAGCTGAGGAGGACAGCAGCAGAAGGATTATTTTATTTCTTGAGCATCTGGTTCTCATCTTGAGAAACCTGGATTTCAAACAGTTGTCAGCTTTGTCAGCTCCTTGCCTGGGAGCAGGATTCGTACAGTAGATGCAAACCTGTACTTGTCGGTGCTGAGGACAGCTCCCCTTCCTCTGCTCACCCAGGTGTCGCCCTCTATCACTCTGAGAAGTTACACCAACCTGTTAAACCAGGCAAGCTGGTACTTCAGTGGTTGGGCCAGTGAGCCGCATCTCCAGACTTCAGTCACTGACCTCCGGACAGCAACTGACACAGGGCACCTGGCAGGAGCTGGTGCAGGAATGCTCACTGCCTGGAAAGCACAGGGGCTCCAGCATGTATCAGAAGCAGCTCATTAAGGTGTGGGCAGTGATCCAAGCACAGTTGCTGCCCGGCTAAGGGCTACTTTCAGCACAAGAGGGTCCTTATTAAACTCTGCAAATGTTAAAGGAAGAAATCAGAGTCTTACCACACAAAGTGGAGATTCTTCTAGGGTTACAACTGCACAGGCACCTGCAGAAGTGCACAACACAGTACCTGCCATTAGCCAGCTGTGATTGGGACACTCCAGAGTCATACCAGGGTTAGGTAGGCCGGAGTCTTCCTGCTGCTGCTCTGCCTTGTCGCCGACACAACCCCCGTCTCGTGTCCTGTGCAAGGTGCTGGAGAGTTTGCAGTGTTCTGCCGGTATTTAGTTTATACTATAAAAAATGTCAAAGTCTGGTGATGGATATTGCACCCTCTGCTGTACTGATGAGTATTGTGATAGAATATTTGCACATTTATTAGCATAATTAATTTATCACATTTGGTGTGATGTTTAATTTTGAGATCATGATATATGAGCTGTCAAAATGCCTCTTTCAGGAATTTGCCCCAAGAGAGCGCGAACACAGTGCGTTCTGCGTCGCACACTTTAGGCAGACATCGACGAAGATGAACTGTGCATTAGAAGCAAGCAAATACTGTAGCTGTTATAGTATAGATCACCATGCCTTTGCTGCAGAGCTTACTTCCACCAGTCCCTGCCCAAAGACGGTCTTGTGTTTCCAGGCCCTTGGAAGGGAGGAGCCAGTGGCTGGGCTAATCTAAGTAGCTACAGGACAGCACTATAAAGATGCATACAGGTGCAAAAGTGTCTAACCTAAGACAGAAATATCAAAACGGTGCTTTTAACCTCCAGAACAGGACTAAAAACAGCCTCCGTTTGAGATAAGTGAGAAAAAAGGAAGAAAAAGGAGAAAAAGGGAAGTGAAAGTGGCTACAAACAGAATCCTTTTCTGCAAGGAGAGAAACGGCACCACCAACGCGAGGCTCAAAGAGCGAGCCGATGTTTGTGACGTATTGCTTAAACTGGTAATGAACCAGAGTCTGTGTAGCAATCTCACAAAACCTCCTGTGAGGACAGAGGAACTGGGAAGTGAGACTGGGTTTGTTCTGGGAAATTGACATGCTCTGTCCCTGAAGGCAGGGAACAGCAATGACCTGCGGATGGGTGGGCGCCTGCTGGTTCCCGAATCCCCGAGCCAGCAGGAGGTGCCCAGTGGGGGCAACATCGGCCCAGTGTCATTAACCAATTAT